GCCAAATTATACCAGTATTCTCGTATTTTCAATACTGCAGGTCTGTGGAGATTTATATTGATGTTCAATATATTTACGACAAGAGATCGTTCAATACTTTTGAAGTGGGATTTGAAATCAGGACAGTTCGATTTGACCTACAAAATATATTAGTAGGAAAATATGAAGTAAACAAAAAGGACTTAATTTCATCGCACAAATTACAGTACCTTACGATACGATATAATAAAAACTTCGTGCGGCTCTTCAGTAGATATTAATTCTAAATATGATCCAGTTACTCCAGCATTTGTTTTATCTACTAAAAGAATAGATCCTACACCAAATTGTACAGCAGGTCCATACTCCATTATCGCGGTTTCGCAATACAACCCATGCAATCTTAAATTCAAGTAAGGTTCTTCTCTTCCATAATGAATAATTCCCAAATGAACTGACAGCTAAACATTTGAAAATATCATTAAATATATTACAAAATTGATATTTTAAAAGATACATAAAGTCTAGTGAGAAAGATCAATATATATAGAACCTCTCCAATAGCAAATCTCAACAAGAAATTTATGTGATTATATGGAGATACGTTGTCATCGAATCCAGACAGACTTATTGTCTTTGATAGTAATTCCAAGTCTTCTTCACTGACCTCAGAAGACACAACACTTCTGTGATATGAAAAAAAGAAATTTTATATATAGTTTGTTTGTAATAAAATAATTGCATTTTATCAAAATATTGAAGAATACATTTTGTACATTAATATTTAATCTTACTTCGTTACCTATCGAGTTTTTGAACATGATTTGTCAAAAGTTCCTTAGACACATGCGTGATTTTATTTTGTATCATTTCAATCGATGACAGACATACGCTACGTTGCACATTTTTAAGGTCTTTCATCGATATGAAAATTTTGTTCAAGTTTTCTTTACAAGCATATTGTTTCATATTGTCCCTGTATTTCTCTACATTCTGTTGATACGCCAATAGTAATAAATTCAAGAAATGAGCAATCAGTCGTATTTTATTTTCTGATAAATTAAATTTTATACTCGAAATGGACACATTGATTTTAATTCTAAAAAATAATAATATAAATAATATATAAATACAATAAATCTGATCTAATATGCCCAAAAAGATTAGGAGGTACCTTGGTAACTGATGGTATTCTGGTTTTATACTACATGAAATAGTTGTAATTGCTTGTATCTTTGGTAAAAAATGATACTCAGAATCCTTCTTTTTTCTAGCTGACCTCCAATCATCTCCTATAATAAAATAAAGAGTATTTGAGATAAATGTATTAAGATTTGGAAAAATGAATTTTAAAAAAAGCTAGTACCTGAATGACAAAATAGTATTTGTGCTCCAGAAAATTCAATATGTATTCTGTCGTAAAGTAATTCTTCCAATTCCATAAGTGTCGCATCTTCAAGTTGCAAGTTTATAGACTGTAGTTCATTAGACAAACTCATATTACCAAAATCCATGACAAGGATATGTCCGCCTCTAAAATTCCTTTGTGTTACTTCCAGACCCAAACAAGCTTAACCGTTTGAGTCCCAAGCAGCGCGATCATGCTGTTTAGATTTTGTGTCGAAAAGACCCAGTACATTTGAACGTTATGGACGACTGACGGTATTTTGTATTTTATTGTTATCCTCTCAATAATTTTTATTGAACAAAACTTGTAAATTAATAGTACGCATATATAATGATATAGATGTATTTCATAAAGTAACAAATATGACGAGCACTATTACACCGCTTGGTTCTCTTCGCAATCGATTAAAACAAGCGCTATCGCGCTGTTCAGGATTTCTCGACCCTGTTTTTTCAATGACCACTGGGACTCAAACGGTTAGGAATTTATTAATGTTTCACATTATACGCACTTCTGTATCGATCCTTGTTCAGGAAATATGATGTATGGTCCTTTAATGTCTACTTTGAAATTAATCCGAAGCGTTTGAGAAACAATATTATCTATCAAAACCAGATAATTTCTTTTTATATATTCGTACAATTTATACGCCCACAAAATTGTCGTTTGCATATCCGAATTATTAAGTTTGAAAAATTGAATAATTTCTATCATGGCATGCTAAAATTTAATAAGGTATCATTTTTTTATGATGCTGATGAATTAATATTGGATGGATGAATTAACATTCCTAAATACATTTATCTTATAAAAATATTATTACATGATAATAAGTCACTTCTATAGCTTCCAGCTTTATAGAAATGTCGAAAGTTGGATCCACGTTTTCCCCATTCTTTTCAAAATCTACTGCCAAAAAGTTAGTTGATACATTCCCTGTAAAAATGAGTAATGATAAAATTAGTGGTAAATTCTAATTCCTAATAAAGTAAATTCTGATACCTGTCAAAATATTGTCGACGGTGATTAATGGCACTAGGTCACCTTCTGCAGAAACGCCTTCGATTACAAAACTCTCAGCTCGGGCAGACACTTTGAAAGCAGACATCAGAGGACGTATTTCAACACTGGTTAAGAGCTGGGTTATAGTTACAACAAGAATTTCTCTATTATAGCTTAAAAGACTCAAACAACAGTTTGCTAAAGTAAAATTGAATTTATAATCTGAAACAGAATATAAAAAGTTGTCTTTATCATATATGCATTTATTTTGATTGTGAATTTGAGACAAATTCTATTGTACCTATTGGTTGGGGTAATTTTTCCAGTTTTATCTTCCTTCCTGAATCATTAGTAATATGATGCAATGATGGTTTAATTTGTTGTCCTTGTGTATCATTATTTTGTACTTCTTTAATCAATGTTGTGTTTTCTAATACATTTTGTAATGAAATACTGGTATTCATACTTTGATGTTTCTCTTCAATCGTTTTATTTTTCAATTCCTGCTTAGCATGCTCTCTAGCTATTACCATGTTTAAAATAGTCAGACAATCTTCATATTTTTGTAAATCCAGTTTTAGTTCTGTATCATTTGGTCGCAACAAGTTCTGCAAGCATGCTTCTTTATACTTTCTGTAGTTTTTCCTGTGTTCACTAACCCTTGACCATGTATAGGGTCTTATATTGTAATCTAAAATGGAATTGTAAGCATACTTCCACCAAGCTGTTGGATTTTCCTTTACATTATCGTTTGGACGATATTTTATATATGGTCTGAAATAACATAACAATGAATAAAGTCAACAAAAAAATGCAATCAATATACGTACTTATTGATTATCGCACGTGACAACGAATTATAAAGATGACAAAAAGTAATATATTGCGCTTTGGAAACTTGCATTGCCACATCATGAAGAACAATATCAACCAACATGCGAGATGTTTGTGTCTCATTACCTTTATGTATAATTACTTTTATCTTTGCAGTGAATGGTTTTAGTACTACAACATAACATTGTTAGTTTCCTTACTTATATTTAAACACAAAGTTACGTTTACAAATAAAACTGTAAACTTACAAAATTGGAACTCTTTGTTCTTCATACCAAAGGTTTGTAAAGCTCTGTGCATTGTACTTTTCCATGCTAGAAGACTGAACATATTCCAATCGCATTGTGTGCTTGTAAGAGCAGATTCTGTGTCATAATCCATATATATGCTTAAGGATTCTGCCCTTATTAATTGATAAATTGTACTCAAATTACTAGCACAAACACCAGGTTTCCATTTACTACAATTTGACATGAATACATATAGATACTGAGGAAATAATAACAAGAAATTAAATATTTACCTATTTGTAGTCATAACTGATATACTTTGAATACAGACACCACAAGCACATAGAGATCCATTTAGCTTTTCTTCATATCTAATATGTACATTATTTATACTAATTTGGAAATTTTTTGTCACAGATGCCAGCAAATTATCAAATAATTCTAAAATTAATTGTAGAAGAAATTAGTGCACACACTTTATTATACATATATGAATTACCTGTTTTGAACGCTTCATCTTCCTTTAAATCTTCTAATATTTTCTTTTTTTCTGCCCTTATCAACTTCTTTTGTACTTCTGCATCATATGGACCATAAGCAGCAGGCACAGCCACTATATAAATATCCTTTAAGCAGAGTTAACATATTGTATCTGAATGCTTTTTGATATTAACTAAAACATACCACAAATAAAGAAGAATTTTTTACTAATTTGTTTACCTCGATACAAAGAATAATTGGCTGAGAAAATAATCCAGACCATGGTATCTTTAAAACAATCCTTCCTATTAGACCAATTTCCACCTTAATAGGCAGACCAAATTGATACTATAAACCAAAAGATATTAATTACCTTCATATATTTTATTATTTTATAAGAGAAAAATTTGCTTACCAGAGCTTCAGGTTTTAATTTAAGATCGGTAAGGCAAGTATCGCCAGAAAAGATACCAACGTTGAACTGTTCGGTATCTAAATCCTCGATATACTTCCCCAAAAGCCGATTCAAGAACGCCGCTATGGCACCTTCGAACATTGTTCCGCATTTAACTAAGTCTATTATGTTGTTTACTTATTTGCATTTGGTGCTACACGGTTTTATATCATGGATTCATCTCATAACCTTAAGAAATTCGCAAAATAAATTCCGTCATGCGCGAAACTTGAGGATTTTATTGATCCCGTTTCCTTGCGACTCGGGATCCAAGGCTAGCACCGGATGAAACCTTCATGCGCAGCTCCACCTACTCGGAAGATTTGCATGCACAAATCGAGAACCTATCCTTTATCAAATTTTGTAATACCGTTTCGAAAATATTCTTTTTTTCTAGTAAAAATCTTAAAATGAACAGAAAAGAATGATTGAAAAAAAAAATATTTTAGTAAATGCAGTGATTAAAAGCACAAAGTTTTTTAAAAATCGTGTTGCCGTATATTCCATGAAACAATTCCTATGTATTCGAACATTATCGAGATTATAATTGGAAAAAAAAATTAACAAGAGAAACCCTGCCAAAACTTAGGAGATATTAGAAAACACGTGAACGTAAATCTATACATGTATATAGCATTCGTTTATTGTTGTATTGTACAAGATTCATGGATTTGGATATTATATACAATAAAATTAAACTATATGCATGTGAGAAAATGTTTAATATATGAACAAAGTATGGCATTGTTTCATATTTGTTAAGCATGACGCTGAAAAATACTCATTTTAATGATTATAATCATGATCGCGTTCATTTATAAGAAATACAGTAGCAATTACAGATATTATTATTGATCAAAATTTCATTCTGTACATGTAGCAATACTACAAGCCTAACCATGTTCATTTCTTCATGCAGATTTCTATAACCTACTATTTGGAACGTAACAGTTTTTTCTCCATTATTCCTTTATAGTTTGTTGAATCAATGAATCTAGAAAATATTCATAAACATTTAAAATGCACCATATTTGTTATATACAGAGAAATGTACAATATGCAATTATTTTGACAACTTTAATTTTTTCTAAACAGTTAAATGTTTCGTTTCTCCTGTATTTGGATCGACTATGACTTTTTCTTTGTAACTGCTCACAGTAGGAGGACTCCCAAAGGAATTGGTATCGGTAAAAGGAAAAAATCTTCCATCCGCGTATTCTTTAAAAAGTAATTCGGCAGCCTTTTGTTTCTCTTCCTTTCCGTTTGAAGATATCTTTTTCATTGTCAATGTTAATAGTTCTATAATAAGATAGGATTCTGGTTTATAAAGTCTTGTAAAATGCAATCTAATATGTTCGCCGACATTCTCATCTTTTCGCGGTATATAATCGCAATGAGGACAAGACGGTGTCATTCTTTCAATGCCATGTCGACGCTTATGAGCATCCATCATGTCTTTGTCACACGTAGAAAACGGACAGCTTTGACAACGTAACGTCTCCATTTCGTCGTTAGAAGATAGAAGTATCCCTTTCTTTTGTAGCAACATTAAGGACTGCTTATCTTGATTCGAGGCCTGTGCTCCACCAAAATTTAACACTGATATACCATTTGTAGTCATGATTGAAGCTGAATTATTGGGTGATTTAAGCGTCTTTCCTGAACGTGAAATGGAGCCTATATTATCGGAAATATTATCGCTATCAATGGTAATTGTATCGTCTTCAAATTGTCTACGTGAAGCTTGCGCCTCTGCATTTGCCTGATGTTTCTTCAGATGTTGAATATAATTAGCGTAATATTTTACGGAATAGTCGCACGTATCGCAGCGATATCTTTGTTTCGCACCGTGCAGAGTTAGATGAACTCTGTATTGTTCTCGTTTCTCAAAGGCAGAAGGACATTTATGGCATTTATATCGCTTTTCTTTTAATCGGCCGTTTCTTAAATAACCAGGATATACAAAGTTAGGATTCCCACGCATAAAAAGTCCAAACTGTGGGTCGGGAGGAGGCGACAGATTTGAAGTTACATCGCTCGCTTCGTTTTGACGTCTATGAACTACCTGATGTTTCACTAAATTCTGAGCCGTTTTCGACGAATAGTCACACTCAGTGCATTTAAATCTATTGTTTGATCCATGCAAGGTCATATGATATTCTAGAGCATCCAATTTGAAATAACGAGCCGGACATTTTGCACAAGTGAATACTTGATTACCAGTTCGTTGATTTGTGTTGTTTATGCTACTATTAAACCCGTTGTTGGAACTTTCTGTAACTTCGACTACAATCCATGCGACAGTAGGTGTAGAATTATTTGAATCTTGATTATTTGCTTCAACACAAGCTGTGGTAGGGGGCGGGTATCGCTGTGACTGGCCGTACAAAGATAACAAATATTTGGTACGCTCTTGATACTCCGTAGAATGTGCCTTCTGATGGGCTAAAAGATGGGCCGGTTGTCGAGCAGCATAAGAACACCATTGGCAAGAATAAGCTAGTTCTGTAGAATGATATCTTAAATGTATTCTTAATTCCTTTTCGCAAAGGAATCGCGCTGGACATTTGCTACAACAATGCACAAGTCTTAAGTCTCGTAGATCAGGTTCCGAACCTAATACCGGAGAATGAGTAAAGCCGAGAAGCGCAGCCAAATCGCTTAATTGCTGCGAATCTGGCCTTGAATCATCTACCAAGCAATGAACGGTGCCTAAAGATCCGGAATGCATATCTGTATGTGCAACCATGACTTCTCGCCGTGTGCAAGTGAAACTACAATCTGTACAAGCGACCACAGGACCATTACTAGGAGTATCTAGGTGCATGGTTTCATGATCCTGGACTTCTGCTCGTCGCGAAGATACAAAAGGGCAGTGACGACATTTTAACATTTTCGCTAGTGTACCATCTGGTCGGGACACCCATACTAATGGAGCTTCAGGCAGTGCTCGTGTATCAAGAAGCAATGGCGGTGGGGCTCCGGAATTCTTCGAAACATTAGTGAAGCAAGTCACGTTGCTCTGCGTTGTGATATGAATCACTTGCTCTACAGACTTCTCTTGTTTCGTGCGATTAATACCTGAAATGATGATGTTTAAGTATCCAATTAACGCTTGGATAAAAATCTTAGTATTGAACTATTTTTAATCATATTAATGCTAAAAAGAATGTGTTTAACTTACTATTATCAGTGTTTAAAGTTCGATGTGCTTTAGACTTGGTAGGGAAATTGTACTCCATATTCTGTTGGTGCTCAACGGCGAGCTCTTCTCCATGAAGTCTGACATGATCCAAAAGCTCTCTGTAAAGATAAAACAAATAAATATTTTCCAAGAATATTATAAATTTAATGATAATAGCATTATATAAATACATACACTTTTGTACTGACATAATATGGACATAAATAACATTTAAAAATAGCATCCAAATTTGGACGATGATGAACTCTATGCATCGATAATGTTGCTGCATCAGATGCGGAAAATGGACAATCTCCACAACCAAATACATTCTGTAAACAAATATATATTACGAATATATTATGTGCTTAATAACAAAAAACTAAATGAACAAAACAACTACTAATATTCATACTTTTTCTTCTCCATGGCGTTGGTCAGCTGGTTCACTGTGAGATTTAACGTGCATAGAAACAATTTCTCTACTACAATGTCGAAAATTGCAACGTTTGCATTTCCACATAGTACGTTTATTTTCCTCTGCGATCGTCGCTGATGATGATCCACTTGATAGTGAATGAGAGGAAATCAAATTGCTTTTAAGTAAAGACTGTCCCCGATTCCTCGCAGCAGCTTTAAGAATCGGTGGTGGTTTCAATCCGATGTTAATGGTGTTAAGATTATGGTTTCCTTCATTCGGAGACACGATCGAAATAGGAGAAGACGGGAGATCCGATGTTTGCCGATATTCGTTGCTATTCATTATGAATAACTTAGTTGGCGGTTCATCAGAATTCGTTTCTTCCACGCTACGTTCCTCCATGTTTTGATCATCCCACGACTGTTGCTCGACCTAAGAAAGAGATGAGAAGTTTATGTACAATATAGAATTGTTTGTCATAAGCGATACACTGCTGCACAACGAGAAACAACTTATTATTCAGCAGAAAAACAACTATTCGGCACACTGAAAATTTCTTTTATATTATTAAAACATAAAGTTCCATATAAAATGAAAAGTCACTTTTAGAGGTATGGAACATTTTCAATGTTATCATGTCGGTTTTGATTACTAAGAATATGCTTGTAATTGCAATCAGATTAACATCATAACACCAATCAAGTGTCCAAGCGCTTCAATACAGCTAATACATTTTCATTATCAGTGTTTCATTATCTTCTCTGGTTCTTTAAAAAAATATGTAATTCAGCTCTTCTCATTATTCATAAGGATCATCACACGTGCTTGTCATGGATAAACAAATTTACCATAGAGTGATTTTGAAACCATAAAAAAATCAGTGCGCCTATGAAAATCGACAAGCACCTTTTTCTTTACTAATAAAGGAATTGTTTAAATGTAAGTGAAATTTATGCTTTCACCTGTGCAAGATATTTGTTATATTTGGAATAATTCCGTCGACCTGTTTCATCCCTCATAAGTACCCTGGCAGTCATATGAACTGGATCTTTAGCTGCTTTAAGTTTAATATGTTTTGTGATGTCCCACCGCCAGTTAGAGCGATACGCGCATAGGGAACACTCGAATGGCTTCCGATTTAAATGACCGACAATATGAACATGAAAACGACTTGCGGTGGATGCCCAAAATGGACAATCCGGGCATTTGTATACCCATCGGCCACCTGGATGCGTCGAAGAACCTTCAACCTGACAAAAGATTTGCCTACCTTTATCAAAATTAAGTGTTAACACATTCGGGAACACAACTGTCTATGGTCTCGACTGCCGTAAGTAACATTTAAAGCACATTCTTAATAACAAAAAAATATATGAAATATAAATAAAAAAAAGAAAAAAATTGCCATTAACGTAATTACAAAAATACTTAAAATAGCATTGCATACTTCGAAGAACAAAAATTGATAGTTTTTAGGCTAACTTTAAATATATTATTCTAATGGCCGTACGGGATGCTTGCAATCAACATAGTTCAAAACATAATTTACACAAACTAAAGAAAAAAATAGTCAGATCTGTTGACTCTCGTATTGCAATTTTTTCACGATTATTATTATCATCATCATCATCATCATCATCATCATCATCATCATCATCATCATCATCATCATCATCATCATCATCATCATCATCATCATCATCATCATCATCATCATCATCATCATCATCATCATCATCATCATCATCATCATCATCATCATCATCATCATCATCATCATCATCATCATCATCATCATCATCATCATCATCATCATCATCATCATCATCATCATCATCATCATCATCATCATCATCATCATCATCATCATCATCATCATCATCATCATCATCATCATCATCATCATCATCATCATCATCATCATCATCATCATCATCATCATCATCATCATCATCATCATCATCATCATCATCATCATCATCATCATCATCATCATCATCATCATCATCATCATCATCATCATCATCATCATCATCATCATCATCATCATCATCATCATCATCATCATCATCATCATCATCATCATCATCATCATCATCATCATCGTCATTATTATTATTATTATTATTATTATTATTATTATTATTATTATTATTATTATTATTATTATTATTATTTGTTTGTTTGTTTGTGTGCGTATGTCCATATTGTTCATGTGCACGCATTAAGTAAATATTATTATTTCTATAAAACACCATACCGATGATCCAGAGGAATTCAGTCCGTTGAGATTAACGTCCCAATCCGTTTGCGCTGGGAATGCATATTCACCGCGATACGAGGTCACACGGAGTTCTGAACAATTTGATAATTTTTCTAAGCTATTGTGTATTGACGTATCGTTGCTTGTCGAGTGACAACACTGCATATGCACTTGTAGATCAGTCGAACTTTTGCAACGTCTCCTGCACTTCGGGCAACGCGTTGTGCCCACGGATACACTTAGAGCAGTGTGGTGTATTTGTTTGTGACAAGCCAGCTCTTCCATGCTACTAGCTTTAAAAGTACACCAGCATTTCAAATCGTTCGTAGTACTTACAGCTACCTCCGGTACTCCATTATTAATTGACGCTGTCGTTGTAAGCTTTTCCTTAAGCTTATCAAAGAACGACGCATTTTTTTTTTCAAATAAATCGGCCGCGTTATTCGCATCCTTCTTTAAGTTGCTGACCTGTGAAAAATTTAATTGAATTATTAAAACATCATAAAAATAATCAATTAGATATAGACAACATTTAATAAAAGGAAAGGAAAAATAACTAACTTCTTTATTTCCATACAATTTTGCCAGTTCCGTGTCTCTTGCAATTTGTGCGAGTTCCGGTCTTACTCTAACACGTGGAACTTTTAACAACGTCGTTGAAGGTCCACTGGAGTTAATACTATTTAGCTTAGTAGGACTTAGTGGAATTAACATTGGCAGTGGTTTTCTGGATTTATTTGGTGTAATTGGAGCGTGACATTCTGCCAGGTGTCGTTGCATTTCAGAATCCCACGCAGTAATAAATTGGCATCCTTTTTCTTCACACTTCAATGCTATACATTCTGCATTAGCTATTGCACTTCTCTTATCTTCCATGGATTGATCAGAAATGTATGAATCTCCAGGACTGATTGAGACTGTTGTACCTGTAGATATATGTAGTGATTCCCGAAAATCACTTGCACCCACCTGAAATTGATTTATTTTTAATATATTTTCAGTTATCTATTATTTATATTAATTATTACTTAAGAAATAAGTTATTATATTACCTGATTGTAACGTTTAGGACTATTTCTTGGTTTTCGTTCGAAAGGTGTGCTAGATTTACGATTTGTTTGACCCACAGGAGGTTCATGATGATTAGTTTCATGCACTGTTAAACTTTGTCTAATATCAGCTGTAAAATTACAAGCACGACATTGAAAAGCCCCTCCTCCTCCATGATTTCTAGTGTGCCTATCTAAATTCCACTACAAGAAAACATTATCTGTTGATACTTCATCTAACAAAAAAATTCTAATTTGTTAAATTTAGTAAAGCTTCTATTAACCTTATATGGCGTACGGAAATCACAAGCATCACATTTGATCATTGGCATCGAATGATATTTCACATGCTTTGTATAACGAGCACGTACATGTGTTACATAAGAGCACTTAGCACATCGGAAAAACCTTCTCTTTAAATGATGTACTCTCTGATGAGTTTCAAGATCTCTTGAATTTAATGCAACATATGAACACATAGAACATCGATTTCCAGTGTCACGTATGTATTTCCCCTAAAAGTTATCATTTTATTAAAAGTATCCTAAATATATAAATATATAAATATTATTTTTTGAAATATAAGAAAAATCGTATTTGGTACTCCAATTAATAGTATTTTATACATATTATATCACTACATAGATATATTTTACTTTTAGAACTACATAATTTATTTCTCCCTCAAAATAATATTGATTCCATTTTTTATTTAAAAAATATATAAAAAGTCACTAATTAAATTTTCGTTCAATGAAGTAATACTTAAACATTTCTTACAACATAAGTAATTGATGTAATTCAATTAAAAATAATATACCTTTTGTTTGTGCTCCTTTTTCAGATGATCGAGATACGCCTTAAGACTTGATAGAGGTTTTGGTGGTTTGCATGTTTTACATTCGTAATTTTGTGAAGACCCCGAACAATCGAGCTCCTCGTGTTCGTGCTTTGAATTGTTTTTTATTGGGACATCGTCTTTGACACTGTACGAAATGTGTTCGGTGTCGCTTTGCAACTCGTGCTCCCTCATCACGACTCCTTGACGATTCTCTTTAAGGTTACCTTCCTTATGTGACTCCGTTTTAAATTGCTGGGGTCGTGGACGAAGTGCACGCAGACGGGGTAGCCTTCCTGACATCTTGGACAAGATTTATTCTGTCCCACGTCTGTTCTATAGTCTCCCTATCGCGCATTGAGATACCCTTTTATTTCTATTCGATTTTCTGAACCACGGTATCAGGATAAAAGGAATACAACATTCACTTTTCCATCGTTTTACACGTCTGTCTTCTTCCCGATGACATCAATGACAAGCCACTTTATATCGTGTGTACATCTCTCACGAGTGATTTTTTAAAAATGGCTTTGCTCACAATTATAAATTACGGATTCGATATACGGTCCTCATCTCGGGCATAATTTTCGTCGAATAAAAAGTACCTCGAAATCTCGGTGAACAATTTATGGAATTCTAATAGGGAACTGTGCGCTGGTACACGTTACGGAAGTACGAGTACAGCATTACTCGGTGGTCGCGCGATCTAGAGGCTATGGGCGCCATTTTTTCTTTCCTAGTAAAACTGCTGACGAGGAGCGCGTTCGAACATTCCCACGAAGAAATTCTACCTCTTTGAGATCACTTCCCGTACTAAATTCCAAGAATAAAACGATACTATTCGATCAAACTTCACCCGATTTTTTATACATCAGTTTCTACAGAATTATCAAAATAACAATAGAATCTTGTAACCTCATTAATAGTTCATATAACAACATCGCGGTTATATTTTATTGTATTCCAGTTTATATATTTTTTAAAATCGTTAACATTTAATTCAAGCGAAAAGTTAAGTTTTTCTAAAAGACAAAAAGTTTACCGATTATCAGATTCAATATACATATTACTATATTATACAGATTTTTGTTTAACACAGTTGCTTGGAATTAATAGTATACTTACAAATTATAAAGTCTTCACATTACGATTATTACGAATATATCTTAAATATATGTTACAATAAAAGTAAATTGATTCCTTTTTTCATTTACAACAATTACTATTCGTTTCAGAATCTTGCGTATAATTATTTCCAATAACTCGTTTTTCCTACTCTTGACATCCGGTTTATGTGATACAATGGTCAATCGCGCAACGAGTCAACGTACAGCTAGAACGTAACATATTCTTATGCGTACAGTTTCTTCCTTTTATCATAATTTATATGAAGATCCTTTTTATAATTTTTTCCTCATAATAAGGTATATAAGCAATAAACAATAAAAAAGATATCGCTAATGCAATAATACACGAATATAAGAGAAAGGAGATCAGTTTTCCGAAACGCGTGTCCGATTTCCGTTTCTCCAAGCAATTTCCGGTTTACAGACGAACGGCGATTTTAGTAGATACCGTTCGGAGCGTGTGCATATCATAAACGAAAGAAAACCAAGGAAAACAAGAAGGAAATTAAATACTCGATCTTGTTGACTGAAAAACAAACCTCGAGCAGTTAATTCGCTTGAAGCAGGTTATCTTCTGATTGAGCGACGGTCGTAAATAGATATGCCAATAAATCCACGATCACGTATCAATCGATATACGCAGCCAACCACGAGCACCGGGTTTTAACATCACGATTGCTTTTACGATTTAATTTAACGCTTTAAAAAAATCGGATACGCTCGTTGGAACCTTTGTTTCCTCCCTCCTTTTCCTTCCTTTCTCCTCTCGACACGGTTAGCTCGATTTATCTCGGGTACCGCGATTTATCTTCGAATACCTCGTCATCGGCGCTAACCAGTAGCCGACGAAACAGAGGATGAATCGTAGAAAGACTACGAGAGAAAACCAGCCCCTCCCTCCTCTTTCACCAACTCGGACAGAACGATGGCGAGGCGAAGTGGCGCAGGTCAGGCGCCATCTGCAATTCCGATTCTGATTCTGGTATCCACACACTCCTCCCACTTCCTCCGGCTGGTTTCTCCTGCAGCCCTCGATACAACTGCAGGAGAAGAGAATGGAGCCGATGATGACGATGGTTTAACTCGTTAAGTAGTGGAAGCAAGTTATCTCATCACTTAAAAATGCCTCCGTATTGAGAATAATGCGAATTCATTGGACTTTACTTTGAAAAACAATATTACCTCCGCTACTTCATACTATAATTAGACTGCGGAGTTTTATGCATTTTTAAGACATTTAAAGATGAAGATAATTAGAAAATATATATGAAATATTAAAAAAATATTATGTACTTGTTATATTATTTAGTAGGTGAAATAAATTTTTGTCTATATCTCGCTTTTTTAGTCATGTTCATAAATATATGAATTTCCATAAATATTCGCAGGCTAGTTATAATACTTTGTAGGAAAATTGTATTCATGACATGTACTTATCTTATGCGAGATGATTGTATAGTTATCATTCTTAAGTTTTTTATCTTTAACTTTTTTTGTGTATAGGTAAAAAATGAGTACTATAGCAATGAAAGTATAGAAGTACATATAATGAATAAGAGATTAAGATACGAATGCTTTCAAGTACCGTTGAAGATGTTTCTTATTGCAATGATAATCAAAGCATATAATTATAATTTATTTTTCTAACACTTCATGTAGGATAGCAATTACTTAAACTTTGTCGATGTCGCATTGTTATCTCTGCTTGTATTGTTTTACGAATTCCGTTATATCATTAAAAGCTCGTAGTATTAGCCGATAAATAGAAAACCACATCGTTGGAAAATTATCTACGAATTTCAATAATTTTTATGCAGTTTTAGTAATTTATTTAGTATCTTTATTTTATTATAAAACACAATTTTCGATATTTTATTTTATTCACACAATATTCAACATTTTTTCTTGTTCAAATATATATTGAGTTTCCGGAAAAAGAACTTCTAAATTTTCTTTCTCTTTCTAAGGTTAAAAAAAGAGTATATATGTATCTACTTTTTGATAAAAAATGTGTTATGTACTGTTATGCATTATACGCATTGCAGACTTATACCTTTTAAACGAAAACTTTATAACCCCTTCTTTTTTGTTTCTTTAAGTACCTTTTCTTTTTTTATGAGATAGAAAAAATTAATGTTCATCGAATTTTGTATGAAAAAGTTTTTATAAAATAGGATAATTATAGTAAAACAAAATAACAAAAATTTTATCATTTAATATAAAAGAAAGTTAACTTAAAGTAATCAAATAGTAGATGTATATACATAGCGCCATTCTAGATTTCTTTTTTTTTAATTATTTTTTTGTCGTGTAAGTATATATGTGAAGGTTGAAATTATATTGACTTTGTACTTTTTATGCTGTTCTATTGTACAGTAATTTGTAAATGAAGATACAAAAGTATTACAAAATTTATATTATCAAAAGTTACATAATTTGCAAAATTTAAATGATTTGCTATCTTTACTTTTATCGATTATGCAATATTAAAGAATTGTATTTAGTAAGTATATAATATTGAAATTATTCATTGTAAATATTCTTAATGCGTAAAAATCAGTAAGATTGTCTTTGATCATTTATATATGTAGCATATATATATTTATATCATTAAGTTATATGTTTTTCATTTATTAAATATAGTTAATTTCATTATTTATATCTTTAAAGGATATAAATTTATTAAGGTCTCTGTTGCATAAGGTAAGACGTTTCGATATAATCAGTTGATAATTAGTAAAATTAAAAATAATAATGATAATACCTTAATAACACTACATACATACGCGCATGTAAGAGTGAAAGGGTGGAAGAGAGAAGAAGAATATACACATCTTATCTTGGAGGTTAAAAGAAGAGTGTACTGAATTTTTTGTCTTATTTAATTGATATTTGCTATAAAACGTTATTGCCTTTGTTATTTATATCTAATAGTTTAATGTTGTCTTATTTACGAGCGACGATATATTTGAATAAAAATTATATAATTAAAAATGCTTATGTGATATTAACTATGACGTGAAGTACGTATTCAAGTAACGATGATTTAGGTATTTTGATAAAGGGTTTGGTATCATAAGAGAGAGTGTGAAGAAAAACGATTTGATTTCGTTTAAAATTAAAATTTGTTTAAAAATATTCAAATGTAGATTTAAATATACATATATAGTAAAAAAACTAAAATTGATGAATATATTTTTATAAAAAATCACAATTGCAATATATTAATCTTACTTTTATTCATATCATTATGTTCCATCTTTGTAATCTAACATATAAATAGATGCAACTCTTTTCCCCATAACCAGTAATAATATTTTTCCCATGTATAGTTAATACTTTGATGTTTGATTTGGATATTGCAGTCATTTTAATTGCTTCTGCAAATTTTCTGCTAACTTATTCATAAATTCAAATGTTTCTAAGTAATCAGATCTAGTAACGTTACTCATGCCTTTAATGCAAATTGCAAGGTCCTTTGTCATAAAACCTGATTCAATGGTATTAATACAGACAGATTCTAATGTTTCTGCAAATTTTTTAAGATCTTGATTATTATCCAGCTTTGCACGTTGGAGTAAACCTTTTGTCCATGCAAATATGGAAGCAATTGGATTTGTTGAAGTTTCCTTTCCCTGTTGGTACTGACGATAGTGTCTTGTAACTGTACCATGAGCAGCTTCTGCTTCTACTGTGCGTCCATCTGGACAAATTAAAACTGAAGTCATCAGACCCAGAGATCCATAACCTTGTGCTACAGAATCAGATTGAACATCTCCATCATAATTTTTACAAGCCCATATAAAACCACCTTCACTCTTCATTGTATATGCTACCATATCATCTATTAGGCGATGTTCATACCAAAGTTTCTTGGCTTCAAATTTATCTTTGTATTCTTTATTATATGTTTCTTGAAAAATATTTTTAAATCTGCCATCGTATTGTTTAAGAATGGTATTCTTTGTGGAAAGGTACAAGGGGTAGTTCCTTGACAGAGCATATTGGAAAGAACTGTGAGCAAAAGCTAAAATACTTTCATCTGTATTATATTGAGCTTGTGCAATTCCAGATCCCTTAAAGCTATGAACTGTATGTGAAATTTTTTTCCCATTATCTCCAGTCCATGTGATTTCAAGTTTACCTGGGCCAGGTACCACAAAATCAACAGCTTTATACTGATCTCCATGAGCATGTCTACCAATGATAATTGGTTGAGTCCAACCTTGTACTAGTTTTGGTATGTTTTTACACAAAATCGGTTCACGGAAGACTGTGCCACCTAAGATATTTCTGATAGTACCATTTGGGCTTTTCCACATTTCTTTCAAGTTAAATTCTTTTACTCTGTTTTCATCTGGAGTAATAGTAGCACATTTGATTCCTACATTATACTTCTTAATAGCTTCTGCACATTCTACAGTCACCCTATCATTAGTAGCATCCCGATTTTCAATACCTAAGTCATAGGTATGTAGTTCAATGTCTAAGAAGGGTAAAATGAGTTTCTCTTTAATAGAATCCCAAATGACTCTTGTCATTTCATCACCCAAGATATCAACAACAGGTCCAGCCTAAAAAAGATAGGATGCTTGTGATAATGCAAAATTAATTATGCAAAAAAAATTATTATATGTATTTATTTTGCGCATAAAAAAGATTTCTTTCTTGGAATAGATAAAATAATGTAAAATAACTATTGGAATACCGAAAATGTTATCAGAATTAATTAAAATTCATATAGGAAAGGTAGGTATTATACGAAAAAAATATTTGTATATAGGTATATATAGACGTTAACAGATGTCAGTTACATAGCTTTACTGATTGCTTACCTTTATTTTCGTCATTATTCCAGAGGAAATGCTAAATGTCTTAGCGAACAGAAGTGCTGGATTATCAAACGGTTGAGAAATTTTTGGCGATAATATTCGTGAGAAAGCAATGAAGTTACTACCCGATCCGATATAAGCTACGCTTCTTATAAATTGCACGTTTGCTCTAATAAAACGGTGGGGCAAAAACATGGCAGCCTTATCCAAATAATCTTAATCACTTTCGTATTTTTACTATTCGCATGAACCTTATACAACTTACAACAAATCTTCCTGATAGATTCCGATAACAATGAAAATCAAAACGTATCCATATTTTTTATTTCTTCCAAATATATTCCTTAGATATCTTGTATTCGTGTAGGTTATGCTGTATGTTAAACTGTCACAATATTTAAACGTGACAATTTCTATTTGTTACATATTAAAATGTCAAATAACTGAATAAATGTAATGAATTTAAGATTGATTGAATCAGTACTAATGAAATTTTACATTAATAGCATATGATCTCTTATCATATTAATGATACTCCTTATCTATGTTTCTTTATTATCTTTGGAGTTTGTACTGTAGTAGGTAAATAATGTTTACGTTCGAAAATTTAAATGCAACAATTATGCTCCTTTTTCAAGCATGTTCATGCATAAATTATATATTTTCGAAAGAAAATATTATTAATCTTTAAAGTTTAAAATAAGCAATCATCTCAGAAGAAATTTTGTTTTGTTAAACGTTTAAGGTTCATTAACAATCAAAATAAACATTTTTAAAATTAATATGATTTCTATTGTATGAATGTACATAAATTATTCTGTGACTATTTTTAAATAGGTCTAAGACAAAAATCCATTAAACATCAATGATTAGCAACTTTACTTTCAGATTTGCATTTTATAAATATATACGATTGATCAAGGTCAATGCAAATAATACTCGCAAATACATCATATTAAGTACGTGTTGGTATAAAAGCACTTACTATTATATTCTGTGCTGACTGAAATTATTTTTGAACAATAAATTAAACAGTCTATCTTCGATAAAATAATGAGAAATTATAAATGATTATCATGTTTTAAAAAATACCATATATTAGCTCTTTCTGCAACAGCAGCTTTTTTTTTAAGAAGACTTCTTATGTTATCAGCATAATTCTAGATTCTTAAACTACGATAACAAGTAGCTGTCTACAAGTGGAGGGGCAGGCGTTCGCATAAAATAGTTCATGTAAAGCGTCTTAAAATATTGAATCGTTATTGGTTTGTCAAATTATTCCAATAACTTAATATTGTCAAATAAAATTGTATTTAAATCTAGGTTTATATATACATATAAATTCAATATATAAGTATTAAAAATAACGCGATTGGTTCTACTCAAGAAACAAATTCAAGAGTATTATCAATCTGAAGTGAGCCACTTGTAATCGCGAGTAGCTTCCAAGCTTATTAAACAAATTAAATTGTAAATATTCTTTGTCCTACATGTAATTATTAAATTTGGGAAATTCGAAGATAAAACGACATGTATAACGTTTATGTACGACATAAAACGATAAAACACGATAGCCTTTTTTCTACGGCGTTGGCAGGATAATGAAATTCGTAATGGGCGAATCTATAGTAACAACAGTGTTCGTGATTCATGTGCATGGAGCATATCGTTGTGACTGATATATTGTGTACCCTATATCGGACCATAGGATGAAAACTCAAGTTTTCACAATCTAAATTCACTATGCCTCGAGAGACGCTGAGAACGTACCAACAATCACGTTAACGTGGTAAAAAAAAAACCAGCGAAAATTCGTGTGTATTATTGAGATCTGACAGATTCATCGTCTTCGTGACAGGAGTGCGTGAATTCTTTTTCCTTTTCTTTCTTTTCCTTCCGTTTCACCTTTGTTCAACCTCCTTATCTACATTTTCCTCTCTCTCGTCTTCGCCTTCTTTCCTTTTTTCCACTCTTTAACCCTTAAGTATTTTATCCCCTATTTTCACCTGCCGGGTGAAAAAAAAGAGAGCATTCTTTACTCTTCTCCATCCCCCTCTCTCTTTTCTGTCTTTCTCTGAATCTCTCGTTTTTCTCAACCCCCTCTTCCACGACACATCGCGTATATTTTTCTTTTCTTTTACTTAAATGTCCACGATAACAACACAATTTTCGGCTCTCCTACACAACGTGAACGTGGATGAGTGATCGTATTTTCGTACGATAGCCGATCGTCGGCTATTCCTACCTTGTACAAGAAGTGAATGCTCTCTACGTTTAACTGGTGTCAATGTACACACGGTGTAACGTTATCGTAGCATCAGGAAGAGAGCATTTCTAAAAAGAATCCTCGTCCAGCTAGAAATTCGACATGATGAAGAGCAGTGCTATGCTTAAGAAAGAAAGCAAAATGCGCATACGTGCTTTCCCGGTGAGTAGTAACTTCGTTTGTTTTTATTTTTTTAGTTTTCGTTCTTTTTCCCTTTAATATTTATTCGCTCTCGCATTTTGTTTCTTTCCTTTTTCTTTCCCTTTATATTTTTATTTTTCAGTTCTATATATAAACTAATAAGCGCACGTTGTTCTAGTTTATGTATATACATATATATTTTGGTAACCTGTTCTTTTAAATTACATGTCAACTTATAAAAAGTTATAATAATTCATATTTAGAAATGTCATTGCGTTTTTATCAATTGATTCTCTTTGCAATATTATCATTTTGTATTTCAATGTGTAATAATACATTTCTTCTCTTAAGAATTGTGCATTGTAATATTGTACATTTTATTATAGAGATGAATGTATTGGCAGTTGCTATAGTGGCAAATGAAAAAAGCAATGAAATGTAAATATTTCAATGTTATCATGTTTATTAATGAATTTCAGTTTAATCTGTCATTAAAGTTTGGAACTGTGATTATTATCCACTAAATTTGTGATTGTAAAGCTATATCACTTAAATTATGTGTTAATCAATATGATACTAAAAATTACTTAAACAATACTTTGATACTTATGTTATCATGTCAAATATTTATATGTCCCTTTGTGGTTATAGTTTATATTGTATGTACTTGATTAGAAAATGTTATTTGTTTGTCACTTTTTCATTTCTATCTAATGAAACAATAAAGCATAAAACTTGTATTTATACAAGCAATAATACAATATTTATGATTTAAACATAATTATTTATTTAATATTACATTTTTTTTATACGATAAAGGTATTGTAAAAATGATTCATGAAAGAATCATTTTGACTTTATATTAAAATATACAGAATACTAAAGAAAAAATGCAAACAATTAACATAAAGTATCTCAATAATATATATAATACATATATTTTTAGTTGTGATCATTAATGTTAAAAATTATGTTATATAATTTGATGTACCCTATTGAATTTTTTTAGTAAAACCAATATATCTGTTCTATTTGTCTAGTTTTTAATTTTTCATTAAGTTCTAATTCTCAGACATTATTTATCTTGACTTGCAATTATCAAATTAATATTGCATCTATTGCTTTATTTTTAGACAACTATGGATGAAAAGTATGTAGAAAGTATTTGGGCTCTACTGAAAAATGCTATTCAAGAAATTCAGAAGAAAAATAATTCAGGGCTTAGTTTTGAAGAACTTTATCGAAATGCTTATACTATGGTTCTTCACAAATATGGGGAACGTTTGTATACAGGTTTAAAGGAAGTTGTAACACATCATCTAGAGAATAAAGTTAGAGAAGATGTATTAAGATCTCTTCACAATAATTTTCTTCAAACATTAAATCAAGCTTGGAATGATCACCAGACATCTATGGTGATGATCAGAGATATTTTAATGTATATGGACAGAGTATATGTGCAACAACATGATGTGGACAATGTGTACAATTTGGGACTTATCATATTTAGAGATCAGGTAACTGTTTGCTACTTAGTTCAACAGCTTTTGAAGTAATTGGAGATTTATTGATAATAAATTATATCATTTTTAGGTGGTCAGATATGGATGTGTTAGAGATCATTTACGAGAAACTTTACTAGGTATGGTAGCAAGAGAAAGAAGGGGAGAAGTTGTAGATCGTATTGCAATAAAAAATGCCTGTCAAATGTTAATGTTACTTGGCATTAACAGTCGTCAAGTTTATGAAGAAGATTTTGAAAGGCCTTTTTTACAACAAAGTGCTGAATTTTATAGAGTACGACAATTTCTTTATATTTTTTAACATCATTTAATTTAATATTATGTAACATTATTCTTCTGTTTTTTATTTAGATGGAATCTCAAAAATTTTTGGCAGAAAATAGCGCATCAGTATATATTAAAAAGGTTGAAGCTAGAATTTGTGAAGAATCAGAAAGAGCAAAACATTATTTAGATGAATCTACTGAACCGCGAATAGTCGAAGTTGTAGAAGAAGAACTAATTAAAATTCATATGAAAACTATTGTTGAGGTATAAATATCGTTCTATTGATACAATATATTGTGTTATCATATAAAGTGACAAATTAGAACAATTTACTTTTTTTATTTATAGATGGAAAATAGTGGTGTAGTACACATGCTCAAAAATCAGAAAACCGAAGATCTCGGTTGCATGTACAAATTATTTTCAAGAGTTTTGGATGGTTTGCGTACAGTGTGCGATTGTGTCTCTCAATTTCTTAAAGAACAAGGGCGTGCCATGGTTCAAGAAGAACATGAATCGACAACGAATGCCGTTCTTTTCATTCAGAATTTGCTGGATTTAAAAGACCGTTTTGATCATTTTCTTCATTATTCGTTTAACAATGATAAGAACTATAAACAAATGATAGCGTCTGACTTTGAATATTTTCTTAATTTAAATACAAAGAGTCCAGAATATCTTTCACTTTTCATTGATGACAAGCTGAAAAAAGGTGTTAAAGGGGTTAGTTATGTTAACTGTATTTCTATAAATAGGTACTCATGGTAGGTAATACCGTGAAATTTTAATAAATATTTTTTTTCATCATTCTACAAAGGATCGTTTTGTACAAATGAAATACAAGCTTTATATCTTGCACCTTAACTTCTGATCATTAATAATGTAAGTGTAAATAACATTAATGTTTGTTATAATACATTTTAGATGACAGAACAGGAAATTGAAGGTATCTTGGATAAAACTATGGTTTTATTTAGATTTCTTCAGGAAAAAGATGTATTTGAGCGATATTATAAACAGCATTTAGCTAAACGCCTTCTCTTAAATAAATCTGTGTCTGACGACAGCGAAAAAAACATGATATCCAAACTTAAGGTAACATTCCTGCTTCTGTTCAATTTATTATTACTGGTATTCACAATATAATATCAATACGTTTTTAATAAATAATATTTTAGACTGAATGTGGGTGTCAATTCACATCAAAATTGGAAGGAATGTTTAAAGATATAACAGTCAGTAACACTATTATGGATGAATTTAAAGATCACGTCCTTACATCTAATGTAAGTTACATACAAAATACTTATAATAATTTTATAAATAATTAATTTTTCAATTTTCATATTACAGACAAATTTACATGGAGTGGATATAAGTGTAAGAGTTTTAACAACAGGCTTTTGGCCGACACAATCCGCCACTCCAAAGTGTAGCATGCCAGCTGCCCCAAGAGATGCTTTTGATGCTTTCCGACGTTTTTATCTTGCTAAACACAGTGGTCGACAGTTGACGTTGCAACCACAACTAGGTCAGTTAACTAGCATCATTCTATCTTTTCTCTTACTGTCTCTTATTTGACCCACTGAAGTAGATTAATATAATCCCTTTAGGTTCTGCGGACTTGAATGCTGTATTTCACGGACCACGAAGGGAAGAAAGTAGTTGCGGTGGTTTAGATACACCATCATCTTCAAGTTCTATTGGTAATGGAAGTGGTAGTTTGTATGGTAGTGGAATATCCACTAATGGTAGTATTTTAAGCCAACGTAGTAGCAGTTGTGGAAACACGAGGAAACACATAATCCAAGTATCAACTTATCAAATGTGTGTCTTAATGCTCTTCAACAAAAGAGAAAAATTGACATATGAGGTCAGTGTGAATAGTAGCGTTTATTTTTTATTTCTTCTACATCGGACTCCTAATGTTTCACAATTATCTATACAATACATGAAACGTTGCGTAGGAAATTCAAGGTGAAACCGATATTCCAGAGAGAGACTTGGTTAGAGCATTACAATCTCTCGCGATGGGTAAAGCTACGCAAAGAGTGTTATTAAAACATCCTCGTACAAAGGAAATAGAACCATCGCACTATTTTTGTGTCAATGACAGTTTTACCAGTAAATTACACAGGTATCCTTACATTAAAATTGCATTAAAATATATCATAATCGGTAATTGTTAACTTATTTAATAATATTTCAGAGTGAAGATTCAAACAGTAGCTGCCAAAGGCGAATCAGAACCTGAAAGAAGAGAAACTCGTAACAAAGTAGATGAAGATAGAAAGCACGAGATAGAAGCAGCTATCGTTCGTATTATGAAAGACAGGAAGCGTATGCCTGTATGTAGTATCACTATTAATTACATTGTAATTTATAATTATTCCAATGTTTTACGCTCTTTTATTCCATATTTTATCTTCTTTTTTTAGCATAATATACTTGTAACAGAAGTAACAGAACAATTAAGAGGTCGATTTTTGCCGTCGCCTGTAATAATTAAAAAACGTATTGAAGGTTTAATCGAACGTGAATATTTGGCACGCACGCCAGAAGATAGGTTTGTATAAAAATTATCTAGTATCTTATATTTTATTATTAATTTTCTATTATAACTACTATTATTTTTAACATTGTTTTAATCAATTCAATTACAGAAAGGTGTATACATACGTTGCTTAATGTTCGAATTTAAATGTTGGATCTGTACAAACATGTAAGTAAACTATAATAATGTCTATTTCAAATATTTTTTCATTGTCTCATTATATTTTATCGACTTGTACGTTATATCATCAGTTTTTCATTGATTCGTTCATCAAAATTATTACCGTTTCTAGTGTACTTATACGAACATAATTAAGATGATCACGAACGAGGCATTCCACATCACAACTGTATACAACTCGGACAGATTACTGATTCAACATTCCATTAAGTTATGATAACTATTCACATAAATCAATTCGTATTTTATGTTTTAGGCTTTGACAAACTTTGATATCATCTCTTTATTTTGAATATAGTTATTATATATATAGTACTACGTGTTAATTTTAATTCTGTTAACTTAAAACTTAAAATTTAAAGTATAATTTCATCAAGAAAAAGATCAGTAATTTTATAAGATATATTGAAATAAATTGATGTTGATTGCCTCGAAATTTAAGGAGAGTAGTTACACGTATTTGATAATTGGCTAGTTTGGTGGAAAAGGTTGACATAAAGATAATTGAATGAATTACAATATATACTTCCAAGTATAAAATCAAGTTTTATAAATAAATTCTGTAAAATTCTTGATATCCTCTTCTCTGAGCTCATTTCATTATATTTCAGTTGTAAGTGATTGATTTAGCTAAATATATAAAAATACTTTCTGTAATAGAAAATTGTAATTTAAATTTAATAGGATTTACTTGAATATACATTATATACACAAATTTGTTAGTAATAAATGGATAGTGAGTTACAATCATTAAAATTGATTCACCCATTCTATGTATCGTGATTCGGTAATTTTTTATGCTTGTAAACCTATGAATATATCTATTATCAAAAACAACTTACAATATAGCATAAATTTTATTAAACCATTAATGTTAAAGAATGATTTCATTTACATTCGTGATTATCTATTATATGTGTACATAAACAATGTGAATGTGTATCTAAGAATATAATTGCCTCATTTTCAGTGTTTAATTACTTTATTTTAATCATTTTTCATATCCTTCTAAAATTTGATTACGTCCCTCGTTTATTTCCAACAAATTCTAATTTTTTATTAAATCAGTTAAAATCTAGAATAAATTACAATAAAAAAAAGTAAAACATTTGGGAGGTCTCTACAAGATCCACCTCTTCCACCTAGCTCAACAATTATTTTATTACAATTAAATTAATCCAATTCTTCGTTAAATCGCAGAATATTTATTATAGTATGCCAAAAGTGGAATCTACGAATTTGTAACAGATGCGGAGTTTACTAATGGAATTAAAAAATGAGTGAGCGCACGAGCTTATATAAAAGACGAAGAAGTTAATAAAGGAATGAAAAAAAAGATTATGATTAAAAACTGTATTACCATGAGCTCGTGTGTGGGCAAATGAAAAACATGTGAAATGCATCATATTTTTATTTTCATTTATATCTTTATTTATTAATATAGAGTTTTAATATTTAAACAAAAGGTTTTACCTTTTCTTACGCAAACTGAATAAAAAATAAAACCCTGTAAAAGCATTCCTTAGTTTTAACACATTTTAAATACAAGAATATCATATTAATTCTGTCCAATCCCTTTTTATTCCATTTTCTAACATTTCTTGTCAAATTAACACGTCACGATAATGTGATCCGTTGATACCGCACATGTTATGTATAGTGGATCACGTCACGAATGCGTTAAATACAATATTATCTCTTTATTATATACGCATGTAATCAGTGAGTTTAAAATTGTTTAAATGCTAATATTGATATTTCAGAATTTACAGTTGAATTATTATACAGTGTCATATGCCACATAAAATAACGAAATAATGAAGATATTAATTTAATTTTTCGCTGTTTAATAGGGTAATATTACTATAAAAAGTAGATATACACGGAAAGTAATTCAATTGTAAATGGAAGTGAAAGATCAAGTTACGAATTAATCTTTTGTATTAGAAGATAAAGTTATATTCTCAAGATAACATTAAGAAAAGTACTCTCAATCAAACTTAAAATCGAAACACGATTACAGTACCAATATGATCAATTTAACAATTACAAATATTTTATGTACATTTGTAATAATTATTTAATGTTTGTGGATTTGATTGATCTGAATCAAAATTTATCCATAATTTGAAGAGTTAACATGTTTGTAATTTCTTAACATTGAAGGTAAATACATTACTCTATGTCGTATTTGTCACAATGAACTATAATTGCTTTGCTTTCAACAGAAAAAAGAGCAGGTGATGTTTTTTATGCTTCCTAAAATCATATGGATCGCATATCCATATAACAACTTCAAAATACAAATTGTATACAATATCATACAGTTAGTTTATTATATTTTTACTTTGCTCTGAAAAATTTGTTTATCCACTTTATAAACATTACAATTTGCACATATTAATATCATTGTCAGTAGTTAACCAATACTGTACACATGTATCTTATTCAACTTGCTTTTCATGTAACAGAGAAGTCTATCATGGTTTGAATTAAATTAGCTGACGAGTGGCAGGCATCATGGTGAGTAAAATTGGTCACTCGTGGTTATTCGTTAGAAGATGATGATTCCCGCCTTTTTTCTGCATGCTTTTTTGTGAACTCTTCTGCATTTTTTAAAAACTTTTTTCTATCCTTTAAAAATTCTTCTGCAAGATCTGCCCTTAAAGGATGCTCTGGTTCAGGATCATTTACTAATGCTATCAGAGCTTGTACAACTGTAAATCAATTATATATTACTTATTCTTCTATATTGTAACAAGAAAACAATGCAAAGAAAATTTAACCTTGGTCTGTCTTTGTAGCTGGTTTCCAGTTTTCAGCACTTATAATTGGTAAGCACACTTGCCCTTTCTCATCCACATTTGGATGATATATTTTTGTTTTAAAGTTTATCTTTGGAGGCTTAAAAGGATACTCTGCGGGAAAATTTATTTCAATGCGAAATGCTCCTTTATTATATGGTGGATTATCCTAAAACATTTTAAGAAGAATGACAAGCATGTCTAAAAGAAAAAATAACAAAAAAGATATATGTCAGATATAATTAGAACTTGTATCATTATGTTACCGATTAAATTTTGAAAACGACATATACAATCATTCCAATGTTTCCAAAATCAAATTGTAGTACAGCATTGCGTATATCTAACTATAGTTGTCTTTACAAATAGGATTAGGTTAGGTTAGATTAGATTAGATTATATTTCTAAAATAGAATGGTACATCAAAACATACCGGTAGTATGAGACCTTGCCAAGTGAGAATATTCGATTCATCTACTTGAATATTTGTAAAATTTTTCATTGCCGAAGCTCTTAAATCACCAAGTTCCTAAAAGTGATACAATGGTTATCATCGAAATTATTACTAAAAACTATAATAATCAAAAAGACATTCTTTGAACGAATAATGAAAATTCTAATTCATATTATTAGAGAAAATTTTAAGCACTTTGAGGATAAATATTAACAAATAATATTGGAAGTATCCAATATTCTATATCATCATGGGAAACCTCGACATCATTTAGAACATGCTATGAAAATTAATCCTGTTAAATATGTACATGACGAGTCTGTTGAAATGTTGATATTGTATTTTGTAATGTTTTTCACATATTCAATGTACTATCGTTCCTCGTTGACAGAAACTTTGATTTACCTTTTGCAATCTTCTCGTAGCTGCCATTTTGAAAATAAATTTCACTAAAAGTAGTAAAACTTGTCAAGTTCTTTAGTGATGGCTTCACAGCTATTCTGTCTTCGAAAATACCCTAGTATTTTTTATGAAAGTCTTTGGTAAACGAACATCGAACAAAACACTATATATTCCCTTTCGTTGGATTTTGTTTTACGGCACTAATTTCTCATCAATACAAATGTAGATTATTTACTGTTAGTCACGAATATGAATTGCTCTCCGTCCTATTCGTTTAACTGTATTGTATTGTACGCGTGCGTGCGTTTGGGGTTTATACATATGTACATATACATGAATCAATTTAGGTAAAAAACCATTATGTTTTAATGCCATTAAAGAAAGCAACTTGATAAAGTTTTTCAATATGTTAGATACTCTAAGAACAATTTTTAAATTCATCTTATAATTATCGATAATATATTCATGTACTATGTATAGGTGCTATGTTTTGAATTAATTCACATGTAAAGGTTGTTGCAAAGAATTTTTGACTTCACATTCTTATACTGTCTGAAACATTTTTTTAATGACATATCAACTAGTGTTAATTGTCAAATTTTATTAAGTAAATTAACTATGGATGGGCTCTGTGATAACATATTGTATATTTTATTGAAAAGTTATGAATGTATATATTAATTTGTATTATTAAATAATAGGAAAAATTAATTCCTTATAAAAAAAGGTTAATGGTAAGAAATCTATTACTATGTCGAAGGAAAATATTAACTTACCAAAAGCTCCAAGTGATCTATGTTTTTCTGAAGTTGATTTTATTCAAGTAAGTCAATATTAAAATGTGTTTTAACATAGAAATGCACTCTATTACGATACCTTTTATATTTACAATTTCTAGGAAAATTTCAATGTCGATACCTTTCTCCAAGAACACAGAAAGAGCACAAAATTAGAAACAATGCGTGATGATCTTGGAATATACTTGAAATTGTTAAGGTCTGCTATGATTGATTTAATCAATCGAGATTATACAGATTTTGTAAATTTATCAAGTAATATGATTGGTTTGGATAAGGCTATAAGTGATTTACAAACACCTTTAGGACAATTAAGGGAAGAAGTAATGGTAAATTCAACGAGAAAATATATTTAATTATTAAAATACTAAATTTTAAATGTTATTAGTAACATATTTTTTATGATAGCAAGTACAGCAGATCCTGGATGATGAAGTTACGGCAATTACTCATAATATGAACGAAAATAAGAAAACACGAGAATACAAGCGAAGTGTATTCAGCTTACAGCATATTTATAAGTCTTTGAATAAACTTTCAACTATATTGTCTTTAAACACATTCCTTGAATGTCCTGCTAAAATAGATATTTTAGAACAAGCTGCTGCAGAATTTAATCAATTAGGATTTCATATGTCTAGGTGCAAACTGAATATTATCAATGAAAACCAAAAAGTATGCATATCTTTAAAAAATTGAACATAGACTTACTATTCTTATTAATGACAGAAATGTTATATTGTAATAGGAAGCTGAAGAACTTGAACAGTCTTATATGACATACCTCAATGAATTTTTCTTGGCAAGTATACAAGAAAAAAATTCTTTTTTATTAATTCGTTGCTTAGGAATTTATGTTACACTTGATAAAATAAGTGATGCAGAAGATCTAGTGAGGAAAGAGATTGTTGGTCCATTGATTCATAACGTAATTAATACGGAAAACTTGAAAACTGATTTACTAGGTCTACAAAATATATACAATAGGTTACTGAACATTTTAAATGTAGAACTTAAACAATTATTAGACATTACATTATATCCAAATAGGTATGCATTTTATTAAAGTCAAATTACATATGTCATTGTATAGAAATATTTCTAAATCTTTTTTTACAGACTTTCTGTGAAAGGTTTTAATTTTTTGGTGAACAGTTTTTGGATTGATGTAGAAGAAAAGATTGAGCAATATATAAAATACATCTTTGCTCCTGGAGATCCAATATTATTTCATTCAGTAAGTAAGTAAAGTTATACTATAGTAATGTAGTATATAACATTTCATAATTTCAGAGATATGTAGCAACCCTGGAGTTTTTAGAAAAATTGGAAGCTGAGTGTATTACTGCCGAATCTTTAATTACATTACAAAAGAATTTGCAATATAAAAACTTTTTGAAGAAATGGAATTTACCAGTATATTTTCAAATTAAATTTCAAGAAATAGCTAGTGGAATTGAGACAGTTTTAACTGAATCAATATCACCAGCATCTGTAAAAGGAACATTGGAGTCCCTTACACAAGATGATTTTTCTCTTTATGCAACTTGTATTATATGGGAAAACCTACAAACGATTTGGGATAATAATGTATATCTACATCAATTGTTTCATAGATTTTGGAAATTCAGTCTTCAGATATGTGCCAGATATCGAATATGGATTCAAACAGTGCTTAAAGAAGTATATTTAATTTAAAAAAATAATATAATATATGATACTTGAATAATTAAAAATCCTAATTTTTTTTATGTAAAGGTATGGCCGATAGAAAATGAAATAAGCAACTTAAACAAAGTAGAACATTCCACAAAACTTAACTTCCTAATTTGTTTGTATAAGGATGTAGAAAAATTTGTAAATATACTTCCATTTCTTTTTGAAATAGCTCGATCGAAATTTAAACAAGAAAATCCAAGGATATTGACGCTATTAAAAGGTTACAACAAGAAAAATGTTAATATTATATTCTTATTCAAATCTTCTATATCATTACCTATGTTTTTTTCGTAGATTCTCTCGATGAAACGATAAAGAATTTAAAAACAATTTGGCCACAAATTACAAAAGAAATAGTGGATGAATTATTGAAACAATGTGTAACACATCTGAAACAAGTCAGTGATATTCCGAGATTATTTAGACGAACAAAAAGGGATGTACCAACAAAACCATGCTCTTATGTAAAAAATACTCTTGTGTTCCTCCTCAATTTTCATGCAGATTACAAAAAGATAATACCAGATAATGTTAATTATTGGTTGGAATTGGCCCTTTCTGAGTTAACTGAACAGTAAGGAAAAAAGAAATAGTTATTATTGAAAATTATAACATTTGTAAAATTTTGTTATATTGAATTGTTGCAGTTATCTAGCTTCTGTAACAGACGTATTAACTTCAGTGCAAAAAACTGAAGAGAGTTTAAGAAGATTGAAAAAGATACGCGACAAATCCACAGGGTCTCTTACTTCCGAAGTTCAAGGAATCAGCGATGATGAAAAAATACGAATTCAGTTACAAGTTGATGTACAAGCTTATGCTAATATGGTAAAATCTATTGTCAAATAATTCATTTTTCACCATGTAAAAATTGTTTCATTATACATATAAATTATATTTCAGATTACAGAGATGCAGATTTCAATTTCAAATGTGCTTTATATGAAAGAATTGTTACACGCTGTTGAAACCGCAATCAAAAGATAATATTATTTTTTTCTCTATTTCTTTAATTTTTAAATAAACTAATTTAAACTCTCTTATCTTATGTCATTTATTTATTAGTTGTAATAACACAGTATTAATATATGTAGTTTTGTCTGTATATCATTTAACATTTTTCTTATCCTTTTTTTTCCATTTTTTGACTCATGAAATTTTGGAGAACAAGTGTCCAAATCTTTAAATTTAACAGACATTTAATGTATTATTTACATAGAAGTATTTATATTACAGTCGTACTTATGATCTAGCTGCTCGATTATGAAATATGGAATTCTTCTTATAATAAGCTCTGATCCCAAGAATCACTTTGTGGTAATTCAATAGTAGTTATTGAATCTTGGTGGGGATAAGTTGGATGCCACCAATCTAGAATTTGATAGCTAACAACATCATTTAAAATAACTTGATTTGTTAATGTATTAGGGACATCTGACGTTCCAAATCCGAGTTGTAATCGATGATCCTTAAAACCGGGCATCAAAGTCATTGATACTGATTGCAAAATCAAGCCAATTACTGGTGGCAACATACTATATTTTAAACAAGTCACCTATAAATTGTATAATATTGCATAAATTACTATTTACCATAACAATGCATTATGCATTAGAGATAATTGTCTCATAGTAAAATGAATACCCTGAGTATCTTGCAGCCCTCTTCCAAATTCACAGCTACATCCTCTAACATTTCAAGAAAATCTGTCTTTTTACCATTGATCTTCGTTTTCAGTTTTAATGAATTATTGTTAGCTTTTGGCAACTCTTTTAATTTGAAATAGAAATACCATCGCTTTTTCCCTTCCTAAAAAGAATATCAATAAGTAATTTATGATTAATTAATTTTACTAAATGATTCAATAGTAATATTACGTATGATTGTATGTTGCATACCTTATGCCACATAAGACAGCACTGTCTTTTAACAAGTGAATGTGGCTGATCTTGTCTTAAATAGGACACATTATCAACTTCTTTCTTCAAGGAAAAATAAGTGTAATGTAATGTTCTGATGACACAAGCACGGAGTCCGTGTGTACGAACCATACATTGTGGTTGTAGACGCTCTGGTAAACCAGGGACAAACCTATAGTAACTATATTATGCTTTACTTAATACTCCTATGTATTATCATTCTATTCAATTCTAGATTATTATGTTCTTATATAAAGGAAAACTTACGTCTTGTACAAATGAAACCAAAATTTTCCTGTTGTTACCACATGATAAGAACTTCTACATATTTGAGCAAATTTTCCCACAGCCTCTGGACTAATGTATTCAGATATAATAAACCATATATCCAATGGATAATCTACACCTAAATAATGTAAAAATATAATTTGTCCTTTATTTCAGGAATTCTTCTTGAATTTTGCCGTTTCATAGTTTCTGTTTATTTTACCTTCTTCTTCTTCTGTAGTGCTCTCAAAGGAATTTGTCTTTCTGTTTCTTCTTTGATTTGTTAATGCACCTATAAAGTAAGATCAATTTAAGTTTAATTGAGAGCTAAAAATGGAACATGGAAAAATGGAACTTCATAACTGATTATTTCTAAAAGTATCTACCTTTAGTATTTTTCTTCGACTTATTCAAATCACCCAGATTACCTTGATAACTTTCATTCATTTTGCTCCAGAAAGTTTTTTTCTCTATTGTTGCTTCCTTCACTGTACAGATAGAATTGGATGAAAAGATTTGTTATAGACTATTCATTCAAGGATACAAATAAATAAGTAGAATTTCTTATATTAGACAGAAATGGCATAACAAAGTTGATTGAAATGTATTAACAAGGTAACCTTCAGAGGAGACATTTATCACTGCCTTTTTAAATCTTGTGTGTGTCCGTGATGAATTTGCAAAGTCGTCAATGGTTATATCTGTCACGAAAAAATAAAGCATTATTTCGTCATTATACACATACTTTTAATAATGTGTCAATCGAGGAATTTTTTAAAATAATTAGTAAAACAATAATTAACCTCCAATCAAATTGTCGTTGCCATTTTCCGCATTTACTTTTTTGTTAGATTTTTTCCTTAAAGTAGGCATGATGTTAAATGCTACGTTACTATATCTACAAATTAATCAGGTACCAGTTGCAACAGAATAAAACCTAAAACTTATAACTATTTACACTAGTAATGGATGACATTGTAACCGTCCATCATATTTTTTAGCGAAGTCAATAAGAAAGATGTGTTCAATCCGTATGGAGCATCGTGTTGTTTTTGCATTTAATAATTTTACGTTATAGATACTTCAGTTTTTTCACTTCAATAGACTAATTGCCAATAATTGAAGATAAGATTGAAGACAGATTTAAATGTAATCTGTATATAAACTTTTATTTAAATATTTAGAAATGTGTGGGATTATATTCTCAGCAGGTTAACGTAAACACGATGATTAAAAACTTTTATTTTAATTGATATTCTTTTAACGTTGAAATACTATGTTACAGAATTTTTTTTATAATGAACGCTACGGAAAGTGAAAAACGTATTTTTAATTTTTTGCAACTGCAAAATTGTTGCTTAAGATGTTGTTTTCGTTTTGTTGGGTGGCGTACGCTAGATTGTTACGAAGATCCTATTAAATATGCAAAAGATGTATGTTTTAATTACTGTAATTTTTTAATTTTTGATTCAATATTAAATTCTTTTATAGGCTGGGTATATTAAAGCAGAAGATATCTCTTTTAACGATGATGTACCGTGCATAACCTGTTTAGGAATTCTACAAAATAAGACACAAGAACAAGTTATTGGAAAAGTATGTTGAAGCATCTGTTTTAAAATGTATATAGACATTTGATATAAATTTCAAATAATTTTACAAACAGATTCAAGTTGAAGTAGATAAACAAAATTATGATAGTGGAACATTTATATGTGCATTAACAATACCAGTATGCATCAGTGTCAGAGAACGTTTTTTGCATATACAATGTGCCACCCGACTTAATCTTTCAGAAGATGCATTGCTAGATTTTAAAATCAAACTGCAAAGTGTTAAAGATGTTTGGAAATGGATAATGATTCCGAAATTAGAATTGGCTATTAAAAAACAAGTGGATTCAATGACACCTTCTCCATTTCTGATTGAAATTATTCTAACATACAAATTTAATGAGAAAGAATGTGAAACATTGTAAGTTTAGAATTATTTTATTTATAGAAATATGTTACTTCAATTACAATAAAATATTTTTTGTCTTAGATTATTGTGCAAAGAAATAAATAACACAGGGAATAAACGGAAAAGAAAATATAACGAGAATAGATTTAGCAGGAAAAGTATAGAGACTCTAATGACCAAAATAATAGACAAAGAATTTTTTCAATACTTTAAAGCTGTGTCATTTGATACATCAGATAACATTAATGTAGAAAATATCATATGTTCACATTCAAGTATTTTTATAGGAGGTAATATTCCTTATTAAAAGTATAATTATAATATAAATTATTAAATGAATTATAACTTCAGGGCGGTATAATAAATTATCAAGAGAACTCAGTCAGACTCCATGGTTCATAAATGGAGAGAAAAAGATGCAAACATCTGTTCAGGACATATTGTGTAATCCTATTGCTGAAGTAACAAAAGCTCAATGTAAGTTGGATATTCTAAAACTTTTAATATTGTAATTAACAATATTTCAGACAAAATTTAATACCCGCTTTTCATATATAGCTATTAAATTTTTATCATCTGGAAGAGAAGATGTGGACGTTAGAAACATATATTCTGGAAGGCCATTCGCTGTTGAATTAATTAATCCTCGAATGACCAAAATAACAGAAGATTTACTATCAAATTTAGTCAATAAAATTAATCAGTCCTCAAAGCAAGTACAAATTACGTCAAACTTAAAAGTTTTATCCAAATATGACTTGAAAAGGTTAAAAGAAGGCGAAAATGTTAAAACAAAATTTTACCGAGCACTTTGCGTTTGTCGTAATTCGTCTAAGAACGTATTATCTCTTGAAAAATTAAATAATTTGAAACGTGTGAAAATAATACAAAAGACACCAGTGAGAGTATTGCATAGACGACCTTTAAGTCCCAGAGAACGATTAATATATGAAATGAGAGCTCGCTGGGTTGAGCCTCAGGAATTAAAAAAGTTGGATATTACTACTGAGGATGCTAGTATGTTTTTTGTATTAGATATCAAAACACAAGCTGGAACATATGTAAAAGAATTTGTGCATGGAGATTTTGGTCGAACTAAACCAAGTTTATGCGACATTCTTAATGTCGAAATCGATATAGTCGCATTAGATGTAACAGGGATTAATTTAAATTGGCCATAAAAATTATGTTAGTATTGAAATAATTTTATATACCAATGTAAAAAATATAAATGTTATCTTAATAATAATTGTTTTATAATAAAAAATATATTTCAAATAATTTTTATTATTTCTTTAAAACTAATGTAAGTCTTTATATTTCATTAATAATTGTCTTGTAATAAAAAATATATCTCAAATAATTTTTGTTATTCCTTTAAAACTAATGTGAGTCTTTATATTTCATTATCCAAAAATGTCTTTTTACAGCAGCCATAGAGATTCTTTCTGAGCTTTTCCGTTTAATTAACTGTAATTAATATAAAAATGATGATTTGTTTAAATAAAGAATTACAACAAGCATATGCAAGAATTACCCTTGATATCAAATCTTTGGCTCCTGGTGTAATTTGTTCTGGCCACTGTATGTTTATTGTCTTTATTTTCACGTAAGTTTCTTGCTGTGAATCACTAAGAAAAGGTGGTTTACCCACAAGAAATTCATAACAGAGAATACCTAAACACCAATGATCGACATATATATCATATGTTTGTCCTGTTACCATTTCTGGAGGTAAGTAATCTAATGTTCCACATAATGTATTCCTCCTGCAGTTATTGTTATTGATAGTAAACGTTGCTTTACTACTGTAGTAATTATTAATTATAATTATAAATATACTTACTTAGATGATGGTGCATGGACAGACCATCCAAAGTCTGCCAATTTTACATTACCTTCATGTGTAAGTAATAAATTTTCTGGTTTTATATCTCTATGAATTACATTATTTCTATGACAGTATTCTAAAGCATCTGCTACTTGATAAGTATACTTAGCAGATCTGAAGAATAATAATAACAATTAAAAGTAAATATATAAATTAATTAATCATAAATTATAAATTAATTTAAAAAATACATACAAGTGTTCATTAAATCTTTCATTTGGTTGTCTCTTTAATTCCTTATATAATTCTCCTCGAGCAGCAAACTCTAATACAAGATAGATGCGCTTATGATCATGAAAATACGTTAACATTTGCAGAATATTAGGATGCCTAAAAAATATTCTTACAGCATATTTTTATTTATGAACAAAAAATTAAAAGATGCACAAGATAATAAGTTTACCTTAAGTGTGTTTGAATTTCAATTTCACGCATCACTTGTTTTTCTACACGTCCTTTCATTAATTCCACTTTGTATAAAGTTTTCAATGCTACCATATAATGTGTACTTTTCTCTCTAGCCAAGTAAACACGACCAAATTTACCTCTGCCTAAAGGTGCACCGATTTCAAAATCATCTAAATTCCATTGATACCTATGAAACAATATTTTATATTCATAATAAAATTAAAATTGATTAACATCTTTTACACTGATTGAAGCAAAATTTCTCTTCGCCATACCTTGATCCTCTAGTTTCAACATGGTCTTCCATTTTACATAAAGTATCTAAAACAATTTCCTTATACTCAGATGGAACATTGGATGGACATTGAAATGCTTCCATGTGAGCCATAATGTTACAAATTATAGACTTTCTAAAAAATGTTGAGATATTTTTGAGGAAAAAGGTTTTATTATACATCTATTATGTTGTATAAATTTATATATTGAAGTAATTTCATATTACCTTTGGGACACAATAGTTATTTATGTAATATATAATATTTGAATTGAATTCTTTAGTAAAATAATACTTCTTAGTAAAATAACCAATATATATATTTATAAGAAATTTTTTAACATCTTCTGCACTTTTCAACTGACATTTTTGATTTAAAAAGAACTGATAGATTAAAGTGACATCTACAGTGCGAAAATCGTAAAAAATTTGATTGCAACACGTAATATTCCCCAAATTAATTTCAATAGAGAAATTTATAATGAAGAAATTACTTTTAAAATATATTATAAATAAGTAATTCAACTTAAAATAAAAAAATTATAATTTTCAAAGAATATCTATAGCTTATCCAACGAGACGAGGCAGTAAACATAAACAAAATTTTGTTGCTATGGCTGCAAAGTGCCTCATCTCATTGGACAAACTATAGAATTTGTATGCTCATGCTTGTGTAGGCTAAATACGTATTTCGTTAAAGTTTCTCTTCTATACTTATCTCATGCTTTCTACTGGTCATCTATCATAAAGTAGTTTTTGCTGATCGATTTTGACATTTTGTGGTAAATTTTTGACAGAGATCGACCGGCTCGAGTATCACAATGGTAATTAAGCATGTTAAATGTTTGAGGTTATTTATATTCGTGTAAATAGTTAAGCAGTATATTATACTACGCGTAATTGATTTTATAATTGTTTTCATTAAGGAAAATGTTATGTGATTATTATCTTTAAAATCCTATAAATAAACTTCTTTTTAACATACTGTGTGTATTTACTTTACATATTTTCTTTTTAGGGTAATGAAAACTCGCTGCCTCTGGAACTATGTTCTAATTGTAAGTCAGTATGAAACATTATTTTTGATATCTTGAAATAACCCATCGTTGTTCCAAGTATATTCGTTGAAAATAAACGCTTTATATACTTTTCTAATAGTTCATATTATATTATGAAATTATTTCGAATAATATTTGATAAAAATTTTATATGAGATCATGTTAAAAATAATTTCTTTTTATTTAAATCATTTTTCATTTACATATTGCTTCTGATTTATTTTTATCTCCAACTGCTTCAACTAAACATAGCACTTCTGAAGTATTAACCACCATATTTGTTGATATACACATACATACATATGCACACATCTAATGCTATTAATAAAAAAATATTAGTTTTATGGTCCTTTCATTACCTTTTAACATAAAAATATCTTTTTTTTTAGTTGATGCTGATGAAATTAGAAGATTAGGAAAACGATTTCGGAAGTTAGATTTAGATAACAGTGGTGCTTTAAGTATTGATGAGTTTATGTCATTGCCAGAATTACAACAGAATCCTTTAGTGCAACGTGTTATAGATATATTTGATTCAGATGGCAATGGAGAAGTAGATTTTAAGGAATTTATTTATGGTGTTTCTCAATTCAGTGTTAAGGTACATATAAATTTTATTACAAGATAACAATAAATATAAATAGAGCATTCAAAAATACTTTCATTCTTTTTTAACAGGGAGATAAAGAAAGCAAATTAAGATTTGCATTTAGAATTTATGATATGGATAACGATGGTTTTATAAGCAATGGGGAATTATTCCAAGTATTGAAAATGATGGTAGGCAATAACTTAAAGGATACTCAACTTCAACAAATTGTTGATAAAACAATATTATTTGCTGACAAAGATGAAGATGGCAAAATTAGTTTTGAAGAATTTTGTTCTGTAAGTAAAAACTTTCAGATGATTCTAGACAGGCTAATTATATAAAAAATTTGTTATATGTGATTTCAGGTTGTTGGTAATACAGATATTCATAAGAAGATGGTGGTTGATGTTTAAATTATTGAAAGTTTATGGAAAGAAAAATATTAGAAAACAAGTTAATGGTAATATCAATTTGACTTAATGAATTCATTATTAACACTAGATTGATTGAATAGTTATAAGTAACAAAATTGTGTAGGGTGAAATTATGTTATTAAGTCTTTAATCTATACAAAGTCTTTAATATATATATATATATATACATAAGTTTGTCATCTGTGAAAATGCTTTCCATAGTGCACTGTACATTACAATTGAATTGACCACCGACCTTCTAAGATTGTGCACATTTACTAAACATGTGTATTGTATAGATTTTAATATTATAAAATGTCTTATACGCAACATATACATATTTTTAGTTGAAATATTACGTTTTTTTAGTTGAAAATATTATTCAAATAGCTCTGTTATCATTTTATAATTTATAATATGATATAATATAATATAATAATTAGTGTACAAAAAGCTATAAAGTTGTTCCAGAATATTATTTTATATATTAAAATCTAATTCAGATATATGTTTTCATTCTTATCTTACAATATACTTCAATAATATGAAATATGTCTAATAAAAAATTGCATTTTCCATAAATTTAATTTTCCTAATTTTTCTATTAAATAATCAGAGTTAAATGAATAGGAACATTTCATTTCTTTCATAATATAAGACTCATTGAATTAGGTTCTGTAAGTAGTTAATTTGTAAAAAAGATTCTGTTTATTTTTAAAAGAAGTTTGTATTGTATATATTATGTTCAATGATTAATTATTCCATCAATTGTGTATTTGAAAGAAGTATTATATATTATTTAATCAATTATTACTAAAATTTGAGAAGTCCCATGTGTTGATAAAATCGATTTTACAGAGAACTTCAGTTTTGAACTGGATTAACATAATAGCGGGATTCTCGAAACTTTCAAATACGCAAATTTTTAAAAATAACCTTATTTGTTTATTATATGACTATTAAGAGAATAATGTATTACAAAACAGAAATTAAATAATATATATTGTTTTATTCTATGATTATAATATTTTGTACATTTACATATTATAAAATCTTAATGTTCAAAATCTTAAGGTAATGTTGAAATAAATTCATGATATATATATATAATATTTAGCAATTTGAAACCTATATATATATTTTCCAATATTTTTATTTTATAAATGAATATAAAATTTATTTGATCGTGTATTATTACTAAATATAATAATTTAGAAAAATAATTGTAAATCCTTAGGTTATTAACATAATATTAACTGTATGTATTACTAATACCACTACTTGAAAGTGAATACCATGAAATTTAAATGTCTTATTTATCTTTTATATTACTTGTATTATTTATAATTATTATCATTTTGTTTTTATCCAATTGTCAGATATTATTTTTAAACATATATATATGAAGTATTTATAGCAATAAAAGAGGTATAGATATATATGTATATTTTATCCTTTATTGATGTAAATTTTATGTGAAATATACTTTATATGACAATACTGTATCATTCCAAACATATGAAGAAATCGAAATAGATTCCGTAAATCCGATTTAAATGTATAAAAATCGTAAATTGTTTTATTAGTTGAAAAAATAATATGATAAATGAAAACTAACCAAACGTTGTCAACGTTGACATGTTTTTAAGGTATTGGTAGCACTGCTTCGTCCCTTGCCCTTCATTGTTGCTATTTAGTACCCGGTGTGTTTGCGTTTTTCATTGCTTCTTGCGTAAAGTTTTACCATAGATTTTTACCAATCCGACGAGAGTCGACAGAAATAATTTAGCGACCAAAAGAAAGCGGAGAGGCTAGCGCAGGAGGTGAAGATGGATAATTTAGAGGAGGTATTGCAAGCACTTGACGAATTTCAGAAAGTGCGTCCAAGTGAGATACCTCGAGAACTCGAGGATTATTTGTGTTGGGTTGCGAAAACCGGTGATCCTGTTTATCAGTGGTCACTGATCAAAACATTGTTCAGGGAGAAACTGACACGCGTGATGACTGAATTTTACGAAAGTTGTCCGACACTTGACCTAGCACCGTGTCCGAATGTCGAACATTTCAATTATGACACGATGAAAAGCAATCTCCTCGAGCGTTTGGAATCATTTGCAAACGCCCCATTTACTATTCAACGAATTTGTGAGCTATTAACAGTACCTCGTAAGGAGTACAACAGGGTTGACAAGTTCATGAGAGCTATTGAGAAGAATATTTTGGTTGTTTCCACTAGAGAACCTGGACCACTATCTAGAAGGAACGAGAATGGTGATGGTATGGTTAATGGATCTGTAGATGAAGATGCATCTGTAACACAGCCTCCTCAAGATGTAGAGATGGAATATTGGGAAAAAGATTGTCCTTCCACAGTTACAATTAGTGTTCATACTGTTGAAAATGAAACACCTTTGTTACATACTGTTGTACCAACCAATGACATAATAAAACACGTATTTGGTTTCCAAAAACCTTCACATGAGAAAGTAGAATCAACATCTTCTAAGTCCGACATTGTGGTATCTAATTCCATACCAACTACTTCAGAATTTTCTGGTGTGTCCAATTTGAATTCTCAAGCACAAACACAGGATTCACAGATTGGACCTACGATGCAAAACATGTCAACCATTGTTCCTGAAACTTCTGGAATTATTAGTGATGTTTCAGAAGCAATTATGAACGAGGACACTAGTTCTCAGCCTAGCTTAGAGTTAGAAAATGAAGGAGGAGATCCTGCAGACTCCTCAAGGAAATTGCAAACTACTTTTCAGACTAAAGATTTCAGTTCAAATGAGAATAAATCATCGAAGTTTTATGTAGATAATTCTAAAGTGAATGAGAAGACAGAGATGGAGACAATGTCAATACATGTACAAGAAGATTCAAGTAAAAGTAATGATATATTGGTTAAGTCAGATGTTGAAATCAAAACGGTATTGGACAACAAAGAATCAGTTAATCCAGTTGTTGAAAATCTTTTAAATACTAATGAAAATTTGGAAAGCACAATAAAGTTAGGTACGGAAGTAGGAAATATTCAATCAATTATCAATACATCTGGTTCAAACAAGGAATCATTAACATTAAAAAATAACAATATGGGAAGTACATCTACAACAAATAATTCAGAACAATCTACAAATAATTTAATTTTATCTACTGATAATGTAAATACAGAAGAAACTATAAATACATCAGAAGATATGTCTGTAGATGTAGAGAATCTAAAGGAACAAAGTAAAGAAGTAGAATTAATAAAAGATTCAAAACCTTTAGTGGAGGAACCATGTTCTAAAGCTAACGCAATAAAAAATTTTAATTGTAACCAGGAAAAAGATAATTTAACTATCACAGAAACTGTAGAAGATGAGAACAAGATGAGAGTGATGAAGTCCATAGTACCTGATCCAATTCCTATTGTCGAAGAACCAAGAGACTCAGAATGTATTAATGTAAAGGAAGATATCTCACCAATTGTTGAAATAACAGAAGAATCAGAAAATCAAAATCCTACGATAACATGTCAATCAGAACACAAAGAAAAAATGTCTATTGAAGATAGTAATGTAGCGCAATTACAAGGTAATAATATAACTTCTATCAGAAATAAAATAGAGGATAGTGACACAGTAATAGAAAATGTCATGAGTAAAAAAGGACAGGAAGCAGTGGAACTAATGGAAGTAGATGAAGAAGAAACATTATCCGTATTTCAACAGGATGATGAACCCATGGAGCAAGAGGCAGTACAATCATCTAGAAGTTAATAACGTGTAAGAAGAAGGTTCTATTCACTTATTTTTAATATTTGATTTTTATTATAACAGGAAACATGAAGAAGAACAAATACTGAAAAAACGATTGTTTACATTACAAAATTTTTTATTGTAGTTCAAACATGATTTATATATGACTTCTCTTAAGTGATTTGATACATAAGTCGTATAAAGAGATATTGTAAGATTTACAAGAAATTCTCTAATCATATGTTCTTTACCATTTCATTAACTTTATAATTACCATTAAATCAGGTAAATTTTGGAATTGTACAGAGATGTGTTCATATGAATTTCTAAGCTCCTGTAGAAAGCAAAACACTACCTATTTCCAGAACATTATAATATTAATGACCAGTTTTGACCATGGTTTGGATTTTATTTCAAATTAATTTATAAACAAGCTTAACAGTAAATTTATGCAGATAAAGTTTCTACTTAGAATGTGGCTGTGTTTGTAACTGAAGCATATAAAATTTTTACATGGCTTGTAACAAATATAACATGTGATATAAACAAAGAAACATTTTAAACATACATTTTGGTGCTTTGCAATATATTTTACTGGCAAATAGGGAGCATAAATCCAATCATTGTGGACTAAATCAATTACTGATCTTACATAAAAAGATGTCTCAAAATTTTATTAATTGAGAAATAATTCTCAACATAAAAGATGCACTGGGTCTTTGAAATTAATACTTATTAGACATATTTCTATAAAGATGACTGATCAATTGTATTAAGCATAGATGAGATCAAACCATAGATTCCATTTAACGATTCAAGTTGAAATTGATAAAAAAAGATGCCTTTATTATATACATCTCCTATATAGAAAAGGGTAAAACATAGTAAGAATAAAATGTTTGTCTTTTCTAGTTGGAGAAATGAATGATACTGCTCTCTTTATGTCTTGCTGTGTTTTCCTAGAAATGTAACAGTTGAATAATTGTCAGATAATACAAATATGGCAATATTCTCTTTTCTGTTAAAATGGAGATTATATTACCGGCTTGTGTAATTTAATAATCAGTCTAGTTTAATTACAACAACAATTTGCTTCTGGTCATATGTTTTTATTGAATATTTTTATGCAGACACAAGTCTAGAGATGGTTTATCTTAAAAATAATTATAATAACAATATATTAATTTAAATACAACATAGATCAATGATATAATACATTGATATAACTTAAAATAGCAGTGTATATTATTTTATAGAAAATATATTAAAAATTATTACCAAATAGTAATTATTTACAATACCTGCCTTATTCCTTAGATTAAAAAAATATATATATATATATATAATTTTGTGATTAAATCACAGCTTGATGTAGTAATTGTTTGTGTTTTATAAATTATTTAAGCACACCATATAAACATGTATTAGGTCTCATTTCTAAAATGTTTAATTTGTCTTTGGTGAGATTTTTTTTCACTCTTTGTGAAAATGATTTATATATACACAAAATATGGTTTTAAAATTTCATAAGAAATAGAACATGACATAGATAAAAGTTACGAATATTTAAAAACCATAATTACAGAATAAAACATTGTATTTCAGAAATTAAATTAATAAATTTATTAATCATTTATTACAGATGCTATTTTCAATAACCTTTGTACATTATTTTTATAGATTATTAAGTATTTCTTAGTATATCTGGTTTACTGAACACATTAATCATTAATTATTGGTGATTTTTATTAAACTCCAGAAATTAAGCAAAGGTTTGATGTTGAACTAACTTATGAAAATA